CTGTACTCCTGCATGCCACCCTACTACCAGCTTGGCTTTGGGCAACTGATCAGTAGCTGCCATGGACAGCAGGGTTAGGGAGGCACCAGCAGTGACTTCCACTGGGGACAGGTGGGCAGCTGCGCTGGGACAGGCAGTGGGCAGTGCAGGCCCCCACACTCCCACAGCAGCAATGAGCCTGAGAAGTGCACCATGCCAGCACAGGGAGCTCCAGAAACTAACACGTGTAATGTGGGTGCTAGGCCCTGTAGGGGTATCCCCACAGTCCATGGAGAGAATTAGAGCCCCCAAGATGTAGGTAGTAAAAGTAATTGCCATTCCTTCATGTCCATGGCCTGGAGACATCCTGGTTACAAATATAATAGTGACTTGAAATTTGTTACTAGGTATTTGATTTCCTTTATCTCGTTCTCTGACTTGGATACATCATAGTGTACAAATGACATAGCTCTTATTATAATCAAGATATGGCTTTCACAAATCAACACATCCTATCTTTACACTGACTTCTTTTACTTTTGCTCTGCTTAAAAATCCTGTATTGCTTCTTTATTTCCCAAATAATAAACTTCAAATTCCTTAGCACAGAGTGTTAGGCCCTAAAAAAAAAAATCTCCTCCAACTTCTGTCTTCAGAATTATCTTCCAAGAACTCCCTCCCATGCTCTATTTTTTAGCCACAGAATACTTTAAGTCCACTGTTCCTTTCACACTTGGTAGCTTTCACATGCTGCCCCTCCTTATTGCATGGCATGTGCTTATCTTCTCTTTTGACTTCTCCACTCTTTGTTTGGAGAAGTAAATGGGCCCATGATCGCAGTTAATGACAAATTTTCTAATACAAAGAAAATCTTTTCATTTCTGAGCATGTCCATGATTATCAGAGAGGGCTTCCTCCTTTCCTACAAATGAACATAATTCATGTCTTTCCCCAGAAAAGTAGACTCTCAAATCCTATGTTGCTGAGCACAGAATTCAGGTTCTAGCTGAGGAATCATTTGTGAGGCTACTTGGTTAACGTCTGTCACTCCCACTATGTGTAAGCTTCATGAGGACACAGGTCATGTGTGCTTATTTTAACACTGTATTATCTTGTGCCTGCCATGTAGTGATCAATCAATAGAATAATTTTCAAATATTAATGAAGAGTGAGTAAATGAACCAGTGAATGAAATGGACTTGAATCTGCAAATGTCATTGAAAGTTATAATTACCATTTTGGAAGCTTCTGCAAACGTCAGGTAAATCAGGATAGGCCTTTAGGTTAACCTTGCTGAACAATGCATCCAGAACTGTCTTGTCAAATTTCTTCTCCAGTTCACTCAGAACATCATACACCACTCTCTCCACTGGGACCAGATTTCTACAAGCTTCTTGCAAATGCTTAAAAATATGGAACGGACAATTTTTTAGATATGCAATTATGGGTTATAGAAGACTCAGATTGTAACTAGAGTATTTATTCTCTTGTAAAAATGTTAGAATGTTACATATATTTAGATGACTTAAATATTCTCCACCAGGAAAATAGACGAACATTTTGTGAACTTGACTCCCTGATATTGATGTATACTTGACAGAGCAATTCTGAAGAATAAACATGGGTTCAAAGTTGAATGTGGGAGCTTTAAGAGCCTAGCCTGGATGCTTCAGGAGTGACCCTGATTGGTAATGAGTGGCCATTTTGGTGACTGGACAGTAAACACCGCCTGCCCCCCAGGATTGACGTGGCCTGAGGTCTCCAGGAAACCAGAAAACCTGTGCTGTGAACCTGGCCAAAGTGCAAAGAAAATTGACTAAGAGAAAGAAAAGTCTTGTCTTCAGTATCCCCAGGAAGACCCACAGCTAATCCTTACCTGCATTCTAGGGCTCCAGAAATTTCTAAAGAACAAGAAACAATTTGAAGAGAGAGCAGCAAGTATCTGCTTTCAAATTTATGCTAATGTGACCCAGCTTTCCTGTCAGTTTCAATAAACTCAGGTTCAAGTGTGTAAAATAAGAGGGCTTTGTAATGAAACAGTGCCCAGCTCACTTATTTCGATTAATTATAGTCATCGGCCATACATTGTATAAATGTACCCAAGGTGCTCTGTACCGATCGAGCACCCCTGTTTCCAATGCTGCCACGTCTCCACCCGCATGCCCCTCCACCAACATTTACTACAGAAGAAGGCATGTTTTCTGTGATGCTGCCTCTCCTGTCACCTCCTTATAAGATGGTGAAGGTCTTCACTCATAGGAGGACCTTTAATCTGTTCACTACATCCTGAAGTTTGCGATAATATACTGAGCAGCTGTTTATCATGAGCAAATTCTCCTCACTTACTTCATACATCTGCTCAGGGATGAAGCCACGGTCGCGGAGGCCCATAAGGAGAGGAAATGGCTTCGTTATTGCACTTGCAATCTCCACCTTATTTTCTCTGAAGAGCCTGAAAATGAGTTCGTAGAAAAACTGCTCCTCTGGGCCCTGGGCCTCTGGGGTCTCATCTCCTGTGAACATCCTGAGAAATAAGACACAATATAAAATAGACATTGAGTTTCCAAGAGGCTTGTGGTGGCTGGAAGATTTCAGAGATGAAAGATACTCAATGGAGAGCCAACATGTGTAAAACAGTGTTTTCGTGGGGATACCAGAATAAATGGAATTTATTTACTTAAAGAATAATCATGGGTGCAATAGAAGAAAACAGTGAGTTTAAGAAAGACTTGTACATAGAAGTGAAACGTTCACCCTGTGCTAATCAAAACTACTGTAAAAAGACTTTCATGTGAACCTGTTGCTGACCCTGGAGACACAGTGGAGATTGGGAGGAAGCTGTAAGGATAAAAACGGGATTGTTCAAAAGGCAATATACACAAGGATCTACTCCCTAACTCCCCCACCACACAGAATGCCTGCATCTAGAAAGGAGACCTGAGGTTTCTTCTTAAGAAAAACGGGAATGACTCAGAAAACACACCTTTACCTTCACACATTTGGGATTCTCCCAGCTAAGCCCACAGGTTTTTAAGCCAACCTCATTAATTGGAGTTCCAAGCTAGCTTTTCGATGTCTCACCCTTATGTATAAACAAACAACAGATCACAGGCATTTGCTCATGTACCCTGAGTTGGTCACATAGTTCTCAACGTTCAATGTTCTTTGCTTCTGGGCAAAGATAAGATTGCACCTTCCTGCCTCCTTGGATTGATGGTTATCACTCTGGCAGAATAATTCAAAGGCAGCGTCTAGTTATCCATGTTCACTCTTCTTTTGTTACAGTGGCTGTCATATCAGATAGCAGCTATCCATCAGCCAGAGACAGGGTGCAGTGTGAGAGTTCTTGGAAAGCAGAGGCTGGTGACCCACTGAGATTTTGGAATTCTTTATTCCAATAGAATAATCCACCCCATTCTTATTAACACAGTCTCTGGGACAAATTAGTTGATGGTGTATTACAATAAAAGACTCAATAAATCAATACCAACAAAGTTCTGTTATAAAAGAAATGGCAGGCAACTAAAATCAGTTAAAATACTGATGTCTAAAAATTGTAAATTTTATTTGAAAACAAACCAAAAAATCACATCTCAAAAATTATTTTAGAACAGTGACTCTCAAAGAATGGTCCAGGGACCAGTGAACAAAAAAGAGGTTCTGTAACAAACCTGACAAAATCGGTGACCATAACTTCACAGGCTGACCTGATCATAAATTCCTAACTGGGCAGGCCATACACCCCAGGCACATAATCTCTTTACCTAAAAGGTTTATCTTTGCCTTTAGCAAGCCCTGTTCATTGTTGTTGTGTGTGTAGGTTAACACATCTTTGAAATGCCAGAGTAATCCTCTTTTTCAGACCCCTCAGAGACAAAATCACCCTCAAGGAAGCATATGATCTTATTGCCTGTGCACCATCCTTACTGTGAATGTTAAACGTTAGCTTAACTATCTTGAACCCACCAATGTAAAAGAAGTATATCTCGCCATTTTTCTTTTCACCCAAGCATAGGGATTTCCCCATGTTGCTTTCTCCGCCTCCTTAATCCACCAATGGACATCATGTAATTTTCCTTACATTCCCTCCTTGGATTACAAATGTATAATAAGAACTGCCAAACTGCCATTCTCCAGAGCAGTTTTTTAATCCATTTAGAGCTTGCTTCTTCTGGGCATGTCCTCAGTTTGGCTCAAATAAATTCTAGTAGACTCCTGTAAAATTTTTCTATAGGTTTGGATGTTTTTACATTGACAGTCCTTTGGGATTCTGCAAGTCCCTTCCAGGTGTCACCAAAGTAAGATCTGTTTTCATAATACAAAGATGTTATTTATCCTTCTTCTTTCTCATCCATCCTCTGACAAACATATAGCCAAATTTCCCAGAGACACAGCCTGTGGTCTCATAACCGATTAAATGTAGAAGAAGCCAGGAGAATCCACCTGCCTGCCACTGAACCAGCCACGAAAGAGATTTGCAAACGTGTAAAGCATTGCTAATCATCTTATTAACTTATTTTACTTTGGAAAACATAGTTCTTTTTCATAAAATATGTCACTTATGTTCAGGTAATGAGTTCATTATTATTGCTTTTAAACAAATAAATGTTTTGGAGTGTTCAGAGTTTTAATTTATAATGTGGTGAATATCAATAGATATCACCCACATGAACAAAAGCTAGCTCTTTGGGATTCTCAATGATATGTATTCGTATAAAAGGGTCCTGAAATCAAAAAAATGTCCTGTTTTAGAAAGGGAGGATATATACTACATAAGGTAGTAAAATTACACTAATTTTAATGTAAAACATCAAGTTATATTAAAACTTTTCAATTAAATGGAGGCAAGTTTAACAAACTGAGTTAAATGACTTATTTCACAGACAGTAAACTCAGATGACATAGTTTCACATTTGATGCTATCAGTTAGAGAAATATATACTAGAGAATTAATTACAAAACCTAAGGGTAACAAACAGAGTCAAAATAAGATTATAAATTTTATAAAAGAATAAAAGTAAATATAATCTGTTTTCCTTAAACAGAGAAAACAAAAAGGCATAAGATATAAACAGTGCAAAAAATTCATAAGCAAGAGGATATATGTCATTTAAAACAGATTAAATTACCATCTCAAATTATAAATGACCAAAATAGAATCTAACTACAGATGGTACAGCCAAAACAAAGTGACATTTAAAATGTTAAGAGTAGGGGCCAGCCAAGTGGCTCAGTTGGTTAAGAGTTAGCTTCAGAGCACCAGCTCTTAGCAACAGGGCTGCCGGTTCAATTCCCACATGGGCCAATAATGCTGCACCTGAGCTGAGTTGCCGCTGAGCTGCCAACAGGTGGCCGGATGGCTCAGCTGGTGTAACAACAAAATTGCCTGTTCGCAACTAAGATTAAACTCGGCACCTTGAGCTGAGCTACCACCCGGATGGCTCAGTGGATAGAGAGTGCGCTCTTAACAACAAGGCTGCCAGTTTGACTCCCGCGTGAGATAGTGGCTATGCCCACCCGCAACTATGATTGTAACACAGCACCTTGAGTTTAGAGGCCATGAGCTGCCAACGGGCAGCCAGATGGTGACTGGCGCCCTCCACAACTAAGATTGAAGAACAACAACTTGGCTGGTCCCCTCCCCAATTCCCCAACACTGTTCCCCTCCCCCAATTCCCCAATTAAAAAAATAAATAAAGTAAAAATAAAATGCAAAGGGTAAAATGATAGAGAAGTTACATAAGACAAATTAAACAAGATAGAAAGCAAAATTTACAATATCTGTAGTTTAAAAGTAAAATTTAAGACTACTAGTAGACAAATCTTTCATGGTCATTAAAAACCATTTAACTTCCAATCTTTAACCCCTAAAGTGTATTTAAAACAACAACAACAATATGCAGCAGATAAGTTTTATAAATTAGCAAAATATATTTCTTAATAACCGTTGGTCTTAAACACACAAGAACATACCCAGTATTTGGCCCTAAATTAATCTAAATAAATAATAATAAGGAGGAATTGAACAGGTTACATGTTCTTGCTATAAGATAATGTTACAATAAGATCAAATTTTCAAAGAAAAAGAAAGTTTCTTTTAAGAAAAAATCTAAACTAATGGAGATTTTAAAAGTTCACTAGACTTGGTTTTAGCTCTGACATGCAAAGACCTTGGACATCATCACCATATCCTTACAAAGAGAAAAAAGCTGAACTGAAAATCAATGAATTTTCATGTACCTAACAGAGAATTAAGGTCACAAGGCAAACTACCACACCAAAATCTGTATTAATAGGCAAATTTGGAGAATCACATATAAAATCACCTACCTGAAGCAGAAGCCACTACAGCCATAGGCCAGTAGGAACACTAAAATGGTTAAGTTTCATGAATTGCTGGAGGCTAAGTATTGACTGCATGAGAGTGAGAAATTCCTGGGGACCAAAGGCTTAGGATAGCCTCTAACCTTTTGTGGATATTACCCCTAGGGACTCCACCAGGTACTCATGGTGAAGAGCAAAGATAAATCTCATTGTGCTTCTGGCAAGGAGGGAGGGAGAAGAAAAACAAAAAGCCTTTTGAAACATACAGATTATTCTTCATAACAAGGGACTACTCTCCAGAGAAAAGTACTTTACCTAAAACTTATCTGACCTAGGAAAAGGGGAATTACCAAAATACAGACCCTTCTAGCCTTTCAGTCTCATCCAGATGAGGTGGGGGAAGGGTATACAGCTAGGAAACCATTCTAAAAGGCACAGTCCAGGAACACGGTTCCACGAAAAGATTGAGATTTAATCATAAGATTATATAATTCCTTCCCTCCCAACAACTTACTCCTATATCAACAAGGCTTCAGTAAATAACTAACTGTGCATTACAGCTGAAAACCTGTAAGGCTGTATTTAAGAAAGAGTTCTTAAGGAATTTCAAAGAAAATAGGGGAGACAAAAAAAAAAAATTAGAGGAATCTGAAGCCTCTGCCACTGACAGCTAGAACATATGTTATATATGGCCAAGCTCCTAGCCAGATTAACATAAAATATCCTCACATTATTCACTTACTTGTCTCAGTTCCCATTACTTGATACATCAAGTCTGGCTTTCAAAAACAAATTACAAGGCATGCCAAAAGACAAGAAAAAACTCAATCTGCAAACACAAACAATCATCAAAATCAGACTCAGGTACTGCAGGTTTTCCAATTATCAGACAGAATTTAAAATAATTGTGACTAATTAATATGTTAAGGGCTCTAATGGAAAAAACAGACAATATGGAATGGCAAAGTAAGGAAACAGATAGAAACTCAAAGAAATAATAAAGAATAAAACGCTAGTAACTAGAAACACTACAGCAGAGATTAAAAACATGCCTTTGATGGTGTTGGGGAAACTGGAAAGACACATGCAAAAAATTAAACTGGACCACCTCCTTACGCCATATACAAGAACAAATTCAAACTGGATTAAAGGGCCGGCTGAGTGGCGCGTTGGTTAAGAACTGGCTTGGGACGCTAGAGG